AGCTAAGGCATTTTCCCCAGCCCTCTCCAGTTCTTCCACAATCTCATCCATAGACAACTAGTTCTAACCGCTTCTCCCACCCTAAAAATCATTCCACCCATCCCAGGGGTTTAAATCTTCATATATAGGAAGATGGTTCTTTGTTGCTCCATCTGCCACCTACCAAAACCAGGAAGATTTAGCTCTTTTTGTCTTCCTCTGGAAATCAACCCCCAGTTCACCGTGCCAATTTTTTACCTGTCACAGCGGAACAAGGGGACAGCAAACGGCCACAAATGTAAAGCTGATACTCGGGAAAGGCATTGTTATATACAATGGACTGTTCACCTGTGAAACTCATTGCCTCAAGCTTATCCTGAAGGCCAAAGAGCCTAGCGGGATTGCAAAAAAAAAAAAAGGATTAGACATTTATACAGATAAAGGTTATATTACACTGATTAGACAGAAGTAATACGGGATTCTTAGATTGGAAGCTCATTGAGGGCAGAGACTATCTTTTTGTTCTGCATTTGGTCAGTGCCTAGTGCAACAGGGTCCTTGTCTGTGGCTGGGGGGTGCCCACGCACGACTGTAAAACAAAGGATAAATACTAAGGCAGACGACAGGCTATTACTGAACTCTCACACAACTCACACAGCGCAACAACGATTCTCTACATCTACACAGAGGTTGTCACCCGAGGATCTCAAAGCACATCACAAAGTCTCTATTCCCAAGACACACATAGCGGGAGTGATTTACCCAAACCCATACAGTGAATCGGGGCAAAGCCAGGGACAGCACCCAGGACAGAGAATAGCATCACCGTGCCTTGCTCTAACCAATCGATCATGCTGCCATCCAAGTAAAAAATCCACTATCTCATGTTCTCATCCTCTCTTGTCACACTGCCCCTTATTTAACTTGGGTGGTAAACTCCTCCAGCCAGGGGCCATGTTGTATTGCTCTATAAATACGATAACAACAATTGCACTTGGCTTCGACAGCCCAATTTCATGGGAGGCTCTCAAAGCTTTTACGAAGCAGGCTCATGTAATTATCCCCATTTTACAGACAGGGAAACCAATGTACGCGGAGGGGAAGTGATTCCCCCGAAGCCAAACAATACGTGAGCGGCAGGACTGGAAACAGAACCCAGAGCCCTGAGTCCCACACACCCCACTCCTCCCCAGAACAGAATAGAACCCACCAGGTCTGACTCCCCACCCCCACTCTAATCACTCCCATCCCAGAGCCAGATCGGAACTCAGACCCCTACTCCCTTCCCAGAGGCAGGAAAAGAACCCAGGAGTCCTGTCTGCCAGCCCCACCATGGTCTAACCACCAGACCCCCCCGCCCACCTCTCCCAGAAGCAAGAACAGAATCCCGGAGTCCTGGCTCCCAGGCCCCCCTGCTCTAACCACTAGCCGACACGTCTAGGCACAGAACCCCGACCTACTGACTTCCCATCCAGAACTCTAACCACTGCCCCACTCTGCCTTTAACACATGAATGGAGCTGGAGGCATAAATAATAATATTTCACATGATCCATCTGACACGGGCCCCCCTGCTGAAACCCAACAGCAATTACTCATTTTTCTTTATTCACCAGCTATGACCGTTTTACTTAAAATAAAATCATATTAAAATATAGGAGTATATTAAAAGAATACAGATTGCTGCGTCAAGTTAGAATGACGTTTGGGATGGCTTTGTATCATTTCACGCTAAACCAAAAGGCCCTACAAAACAATCAAATAAAAAGCCCTGCAACTGAGCAAACGTTACAATGAGTGTTACCCAGCTAGGATCGCAAGCAGGCTTTTGGGGGTCTCGTATCGTTACTTGGGAAGGGGAGGGCTGTGCTATATAGGAGGGGGCGCCCAGAACGGAAAAGCGTGGTGCCTACTACTGGGATAAATGCTGCATGCTTTTTCTGGGTTTACTGTTTAACAAGCGGGGAGACGGGGAGTTCGGATGCCTGGGTTCTGTCCCAGTGCTGGGAAGGGGAGTGGGGTCTAGTAGTTAGAGCAGTGGGGGCTGGGAGTCAGGACTCCTGGGTTCTATCCCCAGCTCTGGGAGCAGAGGAGGGTTAGGGCAGGGGAGCTGGGAGCCAGGACTCCGGGGTACTGTCCCAGCACTGGGGAAGGAATGGGGTCTAATGGTTTGGGCAAGGGAATCTGGGAGTCAGGGCTCCTCGATTCTATTCCCAGGTCTGCCACTGTTAGGCATTGTCGAGAAAGTCACCTCCCGCTGCTCTGTCCCCATTTTCCCATCTGTAAAATGGAAATAGCAAAGCTGACCCACCCCTCCCACAGCAAGAGCGCTTGATGACAGAAGAGCCAGCAGGAGGGGCTGTAAGCTGTAGCCAAGCAGGCGTGCCCTTTGCCAACCACGAATGCGCTAAGCGTGGTGAACGTCCCTCCCCTCTGAGTGGCTGAGAGCACTTTTCATGCATGGATGGATCTAGGTTCCAGAGAAATAGATCAGATTCATTATTTCCATTTTACAGCTGGAGGAACTGAGGCACAGAGCAGGGGAACTGGCTCGCTAAACGATATGCAGCGTAGTCGTGGCAGAACTGGGAATGAAACCCAGGAGTCCTGATTCTCAGCCCCACCCCTGTTCTACCCACCAGAGCCCGCCCCTCTGTGAAAAAGTGATATTTTGCCTCATTACACACATACGCACACAAATTTACCTCTCAATTTTGCTCTGAAATAAATGGTCAACTTTTGCAACAACCAAAAACAAGAATGAAACTTTCCTGCTTAAATAAAATCAACAGACCACCAGTATGTAATGAAAGAAGCTCTCTCCACCAATCAGAAGACGGTGCCATGCATTTCCAATAATTCAGAATATGAATGAAGACCCTTTTAAGACAATCCCTTTAATAAAGTCAAAAATCAGAAGAGAACATCAAATCCCCCCCCCAAAAAATATAATAATACAATAATTAAGAGTGTTTTAAGCATATACATGACATCACAACGCGTTGCCATGGGAAACGACATTATGTATTACAAGATCAAAGATGCTGAAGCAAAGTGGATCTACAGATCCCTGGTTTTTAGGAGGGTGGGGGGAGGAAAATAAGAGAGAAATGGGGGGGCTACAGACACGAAAAGGACAACACTGTTCAAAGACATAAGACATCCCTACAAACACCCCAAGTCAGCCATTCCCCATTTTCCAGTCCACACAACCGAGCATTTTTCTCCACGCCCCACCATCATAACACTTTAAAAAAATAATAATTAAAAAAATATCAGATTGGGGTTTTTCACTGCAGGGTTTTTATTTATTTAACACGGGGAGAAAAATTTTAAAATAATAAATAAATAAATCCAAACCCTTCTGCTCACACAACCATGAATTAAATACACATATTACCCACTATGACTAAAAATCAAACAGACCCTTTGCCAGGGCTTAAAATGCATGTCTCATTCCCCACCCCCACCGCCCCAAACACAACCAAAGCCTAAAATTATAGATCTATATAATACATATTGGAAATTCGATTCTCTTACCCACACCCTGGCCTCCCTATTTGCAGGAACTACATTTAAAAAAAAAATCCCACATCCTTCCGAACAAATAAATGAAATATTCCTAGATCACAATATTTTAAAATTCACCATCACAGCATCTTCTAAGCACTCTTTTCCTGCCACACACACACACAAATCAAAATCCAACCCAAACAAACATACAATGGATAGAGATCATGCCCAGATACATACTGTCCAGTTGCGAACCTTCTTGCAGAAGCTGTCTGCTGGTGCATATATTTATGGAATCAAAACAGTAGGATTTATTTTGTAGAAAGAAACATCCCAGATGTGATCTGTAACCCCCCCGCCCCCCACCCCCAAGCACCACTGGCTTCCCCTCTGCCAATGCTGTAGGCACCGGACAACATGCATGCGAAAAGGTATGTTGAAAATGCTTATCTATGGCCCAACTGCTTGATCCTTTCAGCCCATCTCAATGGAAACCATGGGATTTTTGTGAATGGAGGGTCACATGACCCAAGCTAGGCTCTTTGTCCCTCTCCCTTCAATAAACAACAGGTGAACAAGAAAAAAAAAAAGAATCCAAGATATATAGGGGGGGAAATATAGTCACAGGATGTGTCAGTTTCACTCCACATCTCGGTTTTAAACAGTCACCAATTCCCACTGTGTGACAGTGCCAGATTTAAAGGACCCCCTTCCCCTCCCTACATCCCCCTCCCCAACCAAAAAACTGACATGCCAAGAAGGGAAGGAAATTAAACCCACCATGATGGATCCTCTAGGTGAACCCTGTCTTCTTTTTTTTTTTATGAATGAATCCAGATGCAAATAGGATTGATTCACAAACAAATACCCTTCACATCCCCCCCCCCCTTTTAGGGAGGGGGGACATCTAATCTCATTCATAAAAAAAATCATAATAAAATGGTTTGGGCTTTAAAAATGATTAAAAATAAAAGAGGATGGAGAGAAGAAATTAAATTAAGAACAGCAGCAGCAGCTGGGAAGAAGGAGAATGGAGAAATGAAAGCATGCAGGATGTTTTTAGAGATGTCATTTTATTTTGCCTCCTTAAATGAAAATTATTATTTTTTTTTAGGCAGCAAAATAAAATTTTAAAATCTCAATTGTTTTGCCAAAAAAAGGGGGGGGCATAAATTGGGTTAAAATATCCCCCCCTTTTCTTGCTTTTATGGGGATTTTTTTTAATGGGGGGGGGGCAGATGGTAAATGAAGACCGACTCACTCTAGTTCCATGGCTGGTGCAGGTGCTCTGTGTGTGTGGCTTGTGTGTGTTTTATATGGTGGTAGGATTTTCAGTTTTTTAAAAATTGCTTTTCTTTTTCGTTGTTCATCATTATAAAGAGAATGAAGATCCAGCAGCCATTTTTCAGCAAGTAACATTTCTAATCCCTCCTCCCCCTTTTTCCTACCCCCCCCATTCCCAACCCACCCTCCCTCCCCCCCACTGCACCTGCCTTGGTTAATACTGACCACAGCTGGGGGCCTGGACTGATTTCTTACACCGGGAGTGGAGAACCAGGAGCTGGGGAGAGAAGAGAGAATCCAAAGCTGAGCTGGGAAAAGGGAAAAGGAACAGAGAAAAGTGGATTCCACTTGGTCCTAATGCCCCTATAGGATTAGGGGAGGAGAAATCAAAGCGCCGGAACATTAATCATCAGTCGATGGTTACGGAGATAAGAGGACGTGGGTCGGAACCGGGATCAGAAGAGCCTCAGGCAGATTGGCAAGCAAACCCAGATTCAGTGCTGAATTTCTCGCGTTGTCTCTATAATGGGCCAGAACCAGAATCCCAGGTTTGAAATCGAGGGAGGACCAGCACGCAAACCAAGATCCGATCCCAGTCTCATCTCTTGTCCCACTGAGCCCAAGCAGAATCCGAGATCAAAACTCTGGGGAGGATCCGCACGCAAACCCAGAGCCAATCTGAATTCTAATGTCCAAGAACACCTGTCAGGGATGGTCTAGGGTTTCCAAGGTCCTGCCTCAGCGCAGGAGGCTGGACTTGATGACTTCTCAAGGTCCCTTCCAGCCTCACTTTTCTATGATTCTATATCCCATCCCAACCAGCCAAAGCAGAATCCCAGGTCAGAACAATGGGAGGGATCAGCTTGCAAACCCAGATCCAGTCTGAATTTCACAGCTTGTCTCGTTATCTCTAACTGGCTGGTACCGAAGCACTAGATCCAAACGATGGAGTGGATCGGAATGCAAATCGAAGTCCCGATCCAAATTTTGTATGTCATCTCCAGCTCTAGCAGGCCAGAACCGGAACTGTGGCCCGGAACATGCCTGAATCAGGGGTTAGATTGGAATTAAATTTCTCATGCAAGAGGAAGGACAGTCCTGTGGGTAAAGAACTGACTGGGACACCAGCGCTCTGGGTTCACTGCCCAGGCGTTGCTACAGACTTGCTGAAGGACAGCGGGCATGTGCTTAAGTAACTTCCTGCATCTGGGCTTGTGTGTGTGCGTCAGTTCCCTAGCTATAAAACCGGGAGAGTGAAGCTAAGTCCCTTCAGAGAGGGAGTGTGAGGATAAACCCATCAGTGTTTCTGAGGCTTGGTTACTATGGTGATGCCGGAGAAGAACCTACCTTGATCCTAATTTTGCAACTCATGAGCCAAACTGGTTTTCCCAGTGGTGGGAAAGTTTGGTTCTAGATCCAGGCTTTGCGCCTAGGACCCTGGTCGCCAGCTCCTGTTATTTTTTTTTTCAATTGATCGATTTAGTATTAACCCAGATTCTCAGCCCCTCAGGGAATTTAAATTCTAAAAAAAAAAAAACAAAAAAAAAAACAATCCCCAAACCCTCTTTTCTTTTAAATGCACAAGAAGAACAGGAGGTTTGGTTATTGCCACAACAAGGGTTGAAAGCCCGGGAGAGGGATAAATGAGTGGGACTCGATGTTCCTACTGGGGAACCACATGGATTCACAGGTGTGTGCTTCGAGGAGGCAAAGGATTCAGCCTGGCATTTAACACTGCCCGGGACAATCTGGATATCTACCCACGGTGCTTATACGAGGAGGCAGGAGACCGGGGTTCTATTCCTAGCCCTGGCCTGCTGGGTGACCTTGGGCAAGTCACTTCCTTGTTCTGTGCCTCAGTTTCCCCATCCGTAAAATAGGGATAATAATGCACTTCACAAAGGAGATCAGTATCAGCATCTACTGATAAGGGTTAGGGATTATTACATGTTCCTCCTCTTCCCAACGGTACCTGCGCACCTCACAATCTTTAATCTTGTTAGCTCCACAATGCCCCTGGTAGGCAGGACAGAGCTATTATCCCTATTGTACAGATGAGGAAACCGAGGCACAACAAGGTTACAGCTCAGATTTTAAACGGTGTCTTAATGCCTTGCAGATTCAGGAGCCTGTATCTCATTATCGTGTTGGCACTTAGGAGCCTATATCCAGTCCTCTAGGCCTTGCAACACCTAAATACCTTTAAAAATCTGGGCTTGAAGGACCTGGTCAAGGTCATACCGGTGGTCTACAGCAGGGCAGGGAATCCAAGGCCGGCCTCCCAAGTCCCAGGCTAACGACTTTCCCCAAGCGGCTGCACTTTCCCTGGACCTACGTCCCCGGTGTGGCTCCCCAGCCCAGCCAGCATGCAGCTAACGCCTCACCGCAGTTAGCAGTTCTGCCTGGCCAGATTTAGGAACAAGCCCTGGTCTTGGCTGGGGTGGAAAGCTTCTGTCCATGGTGCCCTGGGGGCTGCATGGGATGCGGCGAGGGGGCAGGGGCAGCAGGCTCATTGTATGGGGGGCTCTGTAATGTGGGAGTGGGAGGGGATGGTTCTGGGGAAGGGGGGCAGGGTGTAGTTGGCTGGAAGGGGTGGATTTTACACTGTGAGAGGGCTCTCCTGTCCCTGGTGCCCAAGGAAAGGCAGATGCAGGGGGACTGCACTGGACTTCAGGGGGGTCAGTCTCATTGTATAGGGGGATGCACCTGGTCCTGGGATGGGGGTGTCTGTACTGTGGGGGAACAAGAAGGGGGTGCACCTACCTGGAAGGCGGGAGTCATCTTCCAGGAAGGGCAGACAGATGCGCTGTGCTGGTGGGGAGGGGCAACGTCTGGCATTTGGGGAGAGGAAATACTTAGGGGGTGGAGGAAGGAAGATACTGGGGGGAGGTCTGCATCTGCCCCCACAGGGAGAAGGTACTCCAGGGGATGCCGTGGGTGGGGAACACTGGAGTTGAGCAGGAGTCACATGAGGGGCAACTGTGCCCCTCAAGGGGTGGGGAGGATACACGGGGGGGCAGAGGCTGGCTGTGCCCTGGGGGCTCCACGGAAGGGGGCACTCTAGCCTGGGAGGGGGTTGCATGGAGGGGGGTTGTGAGGATGGGGGGGGGGGAGAGTCTGGACCAGGAGGATCATAGGAGGGGCTCTGGCTCAGGCGTGTTGCATGAAAGGGGGGCTCTGGGGATGGGCAGGGGGGCTCTGGCCTCGGTGGTGTACAGGGGATTCTGAAGCGGTGAGGGAGCCAGGGAGGGGAGATTCTGAGGGGGCTCTAGAGGCAGGGGGCGCTTGTGGGGGCAGAGGTGTTCTGATGGGGGGACTTGCGGGGATTCGGAGGGGGCAGGGCTAGAAGGACATGGGGGGCCTGAGGGGGTGGGCTTGTGGGGGCTCTGAGAGGGTGGGGCTCACTGGACGTGGGGATTCTGAGGGGGCGGAACTAGCAGGACACGGGAGGTTCTCGGGAGGGTTGCGGGGGGCTGTGAGAGGGTGGGGCTCAAAGGACATGGGGGTTCAAAGGGGGCTGTGGGGGGCTGTGAGGGGGCAGGGGGCTCGCAGGGGTTCTGAGGGGGCGGGGCTCAAAGGATGCGGGGGGTTCGAAGGGGGGCTGAGGGGGCACGGGGCTCAAAGGATG